CAAGTACACACTATAAGTGAGGCAGCAGTCAGAAATGAAACTTAGTGCTCTGGATTGAGACAAGTACACACTATAGAGGAGATATGCTTTGTATATATACTGCTCAAAAAAAATTAAAGAAACACTTTGAGGGGGCAGGGGTGGGGGTCTGAAGTTGCATTGGTGAGGAGAGCTCTGACAGCTGATTTGGAGAGGAAAGACCCACCCTCTTCATACAGCTCCCTGGAACAGTGCCGAGGCTGTCAATCACAGGCTGTGTCCTCCCCATCACCACTTTTCTCTTGGTGTCAGGAAAACTTGTCATAAGTGAGGAAGCAGTCAGAAATGACACAGTGCTCTGGATTGAGACAAGTACACACAACAGAGGGATATGCTTTGTTCATATTTCATATCCAAGGATTACAACTACTACAAACTCATGTACACAAATGACCTTCTTAACTGCCTTTAAAAAGAGTGCTGTCAGGGCAGCTTAACTGGTCTGTACATGGCAGAAAAACATACCTGGTAAAAGTCACATTTTTCCTGTAGCGCCTTCCTCTTCTCATTCAATGCATTTAAATCATTCTGATAGAGCAATCTCTGCTTCTGCCATTGTTTAGCCTGAACTTTATATTCCTGTAATTGAGAGATCAGAGAAAAAAAAAAAAGGAGGTAAGACACATAGCAGTTTTTGGTACCTATACATATAGTTTTCTCAACAATGCTGGCGTTTCATCAGACAACAGCAATCAGAAATGTGATTGGTTGCTAGGACTCTGTGCACTTTGCGCACCGCTGCTCCGCACACCACTGAATAAGCAAGTTAGTCTGGTAGCTTGAAGTGTTCCCAGCAAACACGAATAATTTACATGTACGATGACAGTAATTACACCGTGAATTAGAGCGCGCTGAACCTTCTGTAAATTGCTGCACTCAGAAATCACTGTTTACTCAATGAATCAAAGCTATCACAGCCAATAAAACAACAAACTGCCGAGAAACGGCTCTGCTACACCGCAGGGATTCGGAGCATTCTATCTGTAAGAGACAAGCTGCGCAACAGAAGATGCTTCTTAATTACAGCGCAGACACGGAGATGAAACAACCTCACAGAAATTAATGGGCCATCACTATACAGCGCACCAAAAAAAGGAGAGGATTCCGCCAGTTTTATGGTCTAAATTACAAAATGGAAGCATTAAAAGGGGAATGACAGACTCTAAAAGAAACCGACAGTGGTCCCCACATTGTGAAAAAAAAAAAAAAACATTTCTGGAGTTATTATATTGGAAGCACGTGTAAATCTGTCTATATATGGTACAACCTGATCATACAATTACTGTGCAATAGTCTATTATCGTAGTTGTACCATTAACCAGACAGCTGGATCTTGGGAAACAAAGCTTTTTATTTAAATTCAATCAGGTAGACCCCTGTACTACACAGTTGTTAGTAAGTCTAAGAGACGATCATATGATTGCAATATTTGGTGGCCAGCTTAAAGTGGTTATAAAGACAGAAGGCTTTTTATCTTAATAGATTCTTTATATTAAAAAGGTAAAAAAAAACCTTTTTCATACTTACCTGAGCCCGATCTTGATCCAGTGATGTGCATGAGAGCTGAGGCTCTCCCAGTTCTCTTCCTCCTCACTGGCTCGGAGTGAGCCCTGAAAGCCACTGGCTCAACAGACACAGACAGTAAGGCCCAGGAGCGAACCCTTACGAGTGCCCCCATAGCAAGTAATTTGTTATGGAGGCACATGGCGGGAGGGAGGAACTAGGAACACCAGCAGGGGATCTGAAAAGAGGAGGACCGGGGATGCTCTGCTCTCAGGAAACAATGTTCATTTTTTTTTTTAAAGAAAAAAAAAATTGCTTACATATAGAATCACTTTAAAGAGACCCTGTCACCAGACCACTTAATTCAATGACAATCTTTCCATGAGATTAATGTGGATTCAACATGTTTTATGCATATTATTTACCTGTAAAAACCTCCCTTGTGTTGACATCCAAAAGCCCTGAGACATCTTGTAAGTGATGTCAGCAGCCCCAGTAAACTCAGAGCTGTCACTTAAAGTGGTTGTAAACCTCAGACATGAAATACACTGCTCAAAAAAATTAAAGGAACTCTTTTTAATCAGAGTATAGCGTCAAGTCAATGAAACGCCTGGGATAATGATCTGGTTGGTTAAGTAGCAGAGAGGGTTGTTGTTAATTTCAGTAACACCAAAGTAGCTGAAATTGATTTCCAAGTGCACTAGATGGGCAACAATGAGACAACCCCCAAAACTACAATGGTTTTACAGGTGGAGGCTGCTGACTTTTTTCCCTGCTCATCTTTTCTGTTTTTCACTGTTTTGCATTTGGCTAGGGTCAGTGTCACCACTGGTAGCATGAGGTGATACTTGGACCCTACAGAGTTTGCACAGGCAGTCCAACTCCTCCTGGATGGCACATCAATACCTGTCATTGCCAGAAGGTTTGCTGTGTCTCCCAGCACAGTCTCAAGAGCATGGCGGAGATTCCAGGAGACAGGCAGTTACTTTAGGAGAGCTGGACAGGGCCGCAGAAGGTCCTTAACCCATCAGCAGGACCGGTATCTGCTCCTTTGTGCAAGGAGGAACAGGATGAGCACTGCCAGAGCCCTATAAAATGACCTCCAGCAGGCTACTGGTGTGAATGTCTCTGATGAAACAAATTTCATGAGGGTGGCCTGAGGGCCCGACCTCCTCTAGTTGGCCCTGTGCTCACTGCCCTGCACCATAGAGCTCAACTGGTATTTGCCATTGTGAAGTACTCGCCGATAACAAAAACGGTATCGGTGCATCAGTATATTTGTCTGGAAAGATCTTTTTTTTTTTTTTTTTTTTTAAATAAGGAACCTTATCCTGGTATTTTAGCTTTGTGAATTGATTGTATTTTAGACATTGAGAGGTACGTTTTAGGTCACATTGAGCTTTTATTTTGTCTTGAATCCTCCCTGCACCCTTCCCAATCCAGGGCTGCACTCACCTCTAACTTCTGGGACAGACACATCAGCTCAGGCTGGCTTTTCTCCTGTCCTGGAGTGACTGCAATGGGCCCATTCTTCGGATTCTTCATACAATAAAAATGGAGCTTTTCATAACTTTTCTTCAGCTTACACAGCTAGAAACATAACAAGAATAAAGCAAAACCTTAGACTACTCATCGAGACCATCAGTGCCCTTCCATTAATGTCAATGCCTGGAAAGTTTCTTCTAACATGTACAGTGTATAGCCTGCGAACCAAGAATCTGTATTTTCATGCAAAAGTTTGCTTGAAGTATGTAAGGATGTATAGCTGTGTGCAGAGGGTTAATGGAGTCTGTGTTCTGGCATGTGGTGTCACACCTCATAGGTTTTTATTTTCTTGATCAATATGTTTATTGGAAAAGAGTTAAAGGAAACAAAGATGTTGCAGCTAATAATCACATGAAGTAATAAATCCAAGGTATGCGAGAGGTTTGATTTACAATGTGCTACATCAGTGACATGTGCAATGTCTTTCATAAAAAAATTTGCATAGAGAATGCAATATGTATCATGAGAACAGCATTCCGGTATGTAGCCATATGCTGCAAGATACTGATCCACAACCATATTGTAGTTTGCCTGAACTTAGGGAGTAGGATGATATGGTAAACTAAAAGATGCCTCATATTTTTGATCATGTTTGTGCTGAAGACCACGCTGGACTCACTGGTCGTAGGTAGGTGGTTGTATGGGGTGGGTAGGGAGCTGTCCCTCCAGTCGGTTGTGCCCAATGGTGGATACTGGTGGTAAACTCTCTTCATTTGGGCTGCTGCCTTTCTGGTATGGTCTTAAGGTCATTTCCACACGTAGACTTGGAATAATAGGAAAGAAGGAGCGCCCGATGTCCAAGAGAATGCACTTTTGCTGGTAGATTAAGAGGCATTTATTGAGAATAATGGCAAGTACATCAAACCAACATGTTTCAGGAGTAAAGACTCTCCATTCTTCAGGGCTGTTGCTACACGCTATTAAAATGGGAAAGATTTCCACAACGGTTATATATTTTTCCAGATTTCAGAGGAAAAACTAACAGAGTGACCACAATGCTGCCCCTGGATTGACAGGGGTCACTCTGTCAGTTTTTCCTCTGGTTGAAGGTGGAGCAAAAGAACACAGGAGGTGTTACTCATATGGCAAGCATTGCAATTATACTGGAATTAGATACTACTAAAAGAATGACACGATTACCATCATTTCCCACACATTGGATGTATAAACCCTGAGTGAGGGAGCCACCTTGACCCCAATCCGGCAATGATTTACTGGCTTGTACATAGTCGGGTTCCTTCTTAGTCCATTAGTGTAGTGCATAGAGCAAACAGTGCAGGGTTTCCTTAGGAGGGGCAATAATGAGTGTGTTGAACTATCGGAAATGAACTGAACTTGAACTTTAATGGCCCCCCAGTCTTAGTCCATAGGGTTCAGTATTGAGTTGGCCCGCCCTTTGCAGCTATAACAGCTTCAACTCTTCTGGGAAGGCTGTCCACAAGGTTTAGGAGGGTGTCTATGGGAATGTTTGACCATTCTTCCAGAAGCGCATTTGTGAGGTCAGGCAATGATGTCGGATGAGAAGGTCTGGCATGCAGTCTCCTCTCTAATTCATCCCAAAGGTGTTCTATTGGGTTGAGGTCAGGACTCTGTGCAGGCCAGTCAACTTCCTCCACCCCAAACTCCCTCATCCATGTCTTTATGGACGTTTCTTTGTGAACTAAGGGGCCAACCCAACCCCTGAAAAAACAACCATAATCCCCCTCCACCAAACTTTACACTTGGCACAATGCAGTCAGGCAAGTACCGTTCTCCTGGCAACCGCCAAACCCAGACACATCCATCGGATTGCCAGACAGAGAAGCGTTATTGGTCACTCCACAGAACACGTCTCCACTGCTCTAGAGTCCAGTGGCAGCGTGCTTTACACCACTGCATCCGACGCTTTGCATTGCACTTGGTGCAGCTGCTCGGCCATGGAAACACATTCCATGAAGATCTCTATGCACTGTAGTTGTGCTAATATGAAGGCCATACGAAGTTCTGAGGTCTTTAGCTATTGACTCTTCAGACAGTTGGTGACTTCTGCGTACTGTGTGCTTCAACATGTGCTGACCTCGCTCTGTCATTTTACGTGGCCCACCACTTTGTGGCTGAGTTGCTATTATTCCCAGTTGCTTCCACTTTGGTATAATCCCACTAACAGTTGGCCGTGGAATATTTAGTAGCAAGGAAATGTCACGGATGGACTTATTGCACAGGTGGCAACCTATCACGGTACCATGCTTGAATTCACTGAGCTCCTGAGAGTGACCCATTCTTTCACAAATGTTTGTAGAAGCAGTCTGCATGCCTAGGTGCTTGATTGTATACATCTGTGGCCATGGAGGTGATTGGAACACATGAATCCAATGATTTGGAGGGCTGGCCCAATACTTCTGGCAATATAATGTATGTTGTAGAAAATGAATGATTTTCACTTATGTTACTGTATATTTGTATGTACTAAACACACAGGAAATGTGAAATGTTTAGTAAAGGCCTCACACAACATTTTACACATCAAACACAGCATGCTGCATTTCTGATTTTGTTTTTTTGTAACTTGGGATGCCTACATAGATATTCTCATAATAGCTGAGCGCCATCTTGTGGTCATTTATAAGAACAGCTTATATAGAACTAAATTCTTACAAAAGGCTGTTGTATAAGTCGCTGCAAGTGAAACATGTAGGTATTGTTTTTTGTTACAAAAAATACAGTTTTTCCCCTTTCTTTGTATACATTTTACACTCCCTGAGCTTTGGGCTCTTTTTTAGGATCACAACACCAATATGGCGACTAATCGTCCATTCACAAAGGCGACCAGAGGATGGTAAGAGCAGGTGGCTGATCTGCAGTTTTACTGCCTCCTGACCGCCCACCTTTGCTACACGGCTGCAGCAAAATGTAAAAATTATTTCACATTCTGCAAGCAGTACCACCACCATACATGGCCCATTTAATTGTATGAAGCTGTGCCAAATGAATGCAAACGCATGAGGTTATAGGACAGTGGTTCAGCCTTTTAGGGTGAAAATAGGCGGTGAGGAATTGACATATCACCTCCTCGCTGACTTTTAAAAGACTGCTTTTTAGAGGGAGAAACAAGGACTCCAAGGCAGAATATAACATTGCACTGCCAGCATAGCTGCTTGTAGTCCAGATCAGGAGTGTGCAGGAAAGGGTGACAGCACTAGTAGCGGTTGTCACCTTAGGACAGGAAAGGTCTTTGGATGTACAGTCTTGGTAGGATTAAATATAAGGGTGCAACCCTGACCAGAATACCTAGGCTTGCCTGCCAGGTGGGGAGTGTTTGACGTTACATATTTATTGACACAGTTTTGTATTTGTTCTTATCACAGGCTGCCATATTTTTATTCATACAATAAATGTGCAGGTTTATGAGTGCTAAACTATAAAGAAAGTCCCATAAAGAAAGTCTGACCACCTGAAAAACATCTGCATCCTTACTTATTTTGATAAGTAGTATCAGAGCAGCATTTTAAACACCTCAATACCGCCATACGGATATACATGTCCTGGTATTGGAGGTGGTTATACCAGGATCAGGACTACAGTCCTGATCCTGGTATTGTTTTTACATTGGGCAATTCTCTGCAACTATGGTCAGCAACCCATAGATCATGATCTACCAGTAAATCACGGCCAGGTATCTGTTTTATGCTCTGGTATGGCGGGGTCAGCAAGCCCAGACCGTAATCTACCAGAGTGCAATGCAGAGAGACTACTTGTAAAGTTGGAGCTGTAGTAGGGATGCCTCCTCTGTAGCTATGCCTCCTGTCCCATGGAGAGTGAACTAACAATTATATTTTAAATCAAGGAATGCGCTAAAACCACAAACTATTCCTAATTTAGTGTAGAAACATTAGTGCAAAAGATATATATATCTATTATCAATTAATATCAAAAAATATCAAAATTATGTGCAAAACATAAGTAATTTAAATAATTAAATTTGTGAATATAAAAAAAACAAAAATGTCCAATTCTGAATTTCTTCGAATGTCCAAACAAATCCTTTTCAAATTCAGGTGCTCTCAAAGAAATTGTGCCAAAATCCACCACCAAAAGTAAAGTTGGGTAACTCACCAGAGCTCCATGCTGATCAATCTCTAGATCAGCAAAAAACGCTTTTTGCTCTGGGAGCAGATGCAATGAATCAACTTCTCAGGTGTGATGATCAATAGCTACACATTCATCCATAAGGTAGGTATCCACCACTCAATATAATGGTTCCAGGAGCATTATATCACTCTCTCTTTTTATATCTCTCCACCGAGGTCATGTTTGGGAATGAAAGAGAAAAATCATGGTGCAGCCAGTTTTTTTTTATAAAAGTATCCAACAATTTAATAAAGATTTACACTCACAAAAAGGGTGTCTTCACCGACACCAGTATAACAGCATAAAACAGCAAATGGTATAACAGTCTCCTGTTCCCCGTACACTCACTACAGCGCTCGTGACTTAATTTTCTCCACAAACGTCAGCATCCAGTAAGCCCTACTAGTTTCGTCATGAATGACGTCTTCAAGGGGTGGCCTTGAAGACGTCATTCATGACGAAACTAGTAGGGCTTACTGGATGCTGACGTTTGTGGAGAAAATTAAGTCACGAGCGCTGTAGTGAGTGTACGGGGAACAGGAGACTGTTATACCATTTGCTGTTTTATGCTGTTATACTGGTGTCGGTGAAGACACCCTTTTTGTGAGTGTAAATCTTTATTAAATTGTTGGATACTTTTATAAAAAAAAACTGGCTGCACCATGATTTTTTCTCTTTCATTCCCAAACATGACCTCGGTGGAGAGATATAAAAAGAGAGAGTGATATAATGCTCCTGGAACCATTATATTGAGTGGTGGATACCTACCTTATGGATGAATGTGTAGCTATTGATCATCACACCTGAGAAGTTGATTCATTGCATCTGCTCCCAGAGCAAAAAGCGTTTTTTTGCTGATCTAGAGATTGATCAGCATGGAGCTCTGGTGAGTTACCCAACTTTACTTTTGGTGGTGGATTTTGGCACAATTTCTTTGAGAGCACCTGAATTTGAAAAGGATTTGTTTGGACATTCGAAGAAATTCAGAATTGGACATTTTTGTTTTTTTTATATTCACAAATTTAATTATTTAAATTACTTATGTTTTGCACATAATTTTGATATTTTTTGATATTAATTGATAATAGATATATATATCTTTTGCACTAATGTTTCTACACTAAATTAGGAATAGTTTGTGGTTTTAGCGCATTCCTTGATTTAAGTTATAGCACTAAGAAATTTATTTGGTTTCTTTGAGGTGGAATTGCTGCTTTAAAGTATTAAGGGTGTGGCGCTTTTATTACACTTGTGATAACAATTATATTTACTTGTTTCAAATGTATTTTTTTCTTACATTTTTTTAGTTGCTTCCTGGTTAGGCCAGAAGTCTTCGTGAGTATTTTCTTTCATTCACCTGGAGGAGGGGCTTTCTTAGCCAAGCACACCCTTCTGCCTGCAAGTCTGAGCTAAGGGCAGATGGATTCTGGGAAGTAAATTATACATGGGGGGGGGGGGGGGGGAGTCAGCAACCGGTACATTGCGATCTACCAGTAGAATGCAACCAGGTGACTGGTAGATCGCGGTCCGGGCCTGCTGACCCACCATCCCAGAGGATAAAACAGTGCAATATAGAGGGGCTGTAAAGCTGGAGCTGTAGTAAGGGGCAAGATCTGCAAATAAATGCCTTCTCTGTAGTGGTTGCTCCTGTTTCATGCAGAGTGATACCAGCTGCACTCCACCTCTTATCCCGGCTAGAGGTTTCCAGAGTGATGCCAGCAGCAGGAAAGAAGAGATCTTCAGGACAGGGTGAAGCAATACACTGGGCATAATAGTAGAGAGCTGCTTTCACACTGATGGGCTGCAATTTACCCACATCATGGCTGCAGTGCAGTGTACCTGCAGCTTTCTTGCGAGTTTACTATGCTTAGCCATAGACTTCTAATAAATCCTGAATGTAGGAGTTTTGGTGTGCTTTCAGAAAGTGTACCACACCTGCAGGATATAATAGTCTATTTCCCTGGCAAAGTGCAGCTAAACCAGGAAATTGGCAGATGCACCTGGCTGCACCAGTGGTGCAGGTAAACCGCAGCACATCAGTGTGAAAGCACATCAGTGTGAAAGCACCTTGATGGGGGCCCAGAACAGTAAGAGTTAATTTATATTTGCAGTTTGGGCGGTGGTATAACCTCATATTTAAGATGTGTTTTTATTACCCCCGCCCCAACTGCACCCCCCTTAGCTGCAGTGGCCCAGGGTGTACACATGTTGCAACCACACAGGAGGTATATGCCCTGTCATGGTTGGTGAGTGCAGCACCTGCCAACCATGACCCATTCAAGTGAACGAGGCCGGACTGCAAGTGCCCTGCAACCTTGTGCAGTACAGCAAACAATGGGTTAAAGCAGACAGCGTTGTGTTGCTTTCTCACTACGTACTTTAATCCCATGGATCCCGCAGAAGCACGCAGTTTTGGGGTGCTTGCAGAGTGGCCCCACAAACACGAACGGGTCTTGATTGACAGGTGGCAGCACCTACCAAAAGAAACAGTGGGTGTCAATCCTGCTACGTCATGTGTACACCTTTGGCTGTAGTCTTCTCCCGTAATGTTCAGGTAGATCGCCAGCTCTTTAAAGGCTGCCTATCCTGGGTCTACATGATAAAAGCAATCCTAGTGACTATATACCACTACACAGCTGTAGAAATGAGAAGAATGCAGATAAACAGGTACAACCTATGTAGGAGAATTTGTTTAATCTCTGTGTGTCACCTGAGGCCAGTCACTTCATTGGTTATATGTAAGGGCTTACACCTGCTTGAATCTCCCATCACTATACACCGATCCATGAAGTACAGACTTGAACATTACATTTCTTACACATCTGCAGTCATACCCCATTCATATCATCACAGTAAAAGGTAAAGACCTCACCTGAGATTTCAGGGCTTCAAGGTGCTTCTCATATTTCTGAACAGTTTCTTCTCGAGACCGATCAGCTAACTCTAGCTTCTTGGAGAGAATTCCAATCTGTCACACACAGAATTTCCATTGTTAGGAAACATTACTGCCATCATGTCCTACAGCCAATACTAACCAAAATACAGACAAACGTTATCTGTACTTGGTGTGGTGCATCTACTTATTTGAAGAATAAGATCTCCTTTTTTTGTACAAAAATGATAAAATGTACATTTTTTTGCAGGTGAAAAATTATTTTTGCCCAAAGGAGCCTGGAAAGCATTG